CATGTTCTCTGAAAAGCTGTGCTTCTAAATATATCAGAGAAAGGGGATGATGACTGAAAAATAATATAAAAGCCAGATATGAAAATTCTTTTTTTACTTATACATATTGAAAATGCAGATGTGTGTGATTACTGTATTAATATCATTAATATTATTTCTAAGTTTATCTAATGGAAAAGCTTAATCTACAGACCATATCTCTTTAGATTTTTGAGAGATCCTTAGATGTTAAAATTTTTCATAATGTTTAATTTGAGGAGCTGAGTCATATTTGTCATGTATGATAGAACTAAATTAATATAACTTTCTTCCCTATTACAATAGTAGTTTCTGAGTCATATTTGTCATGTATGATAGAACTAAATTAACTTTCTTCCCTATTACAATAGTAGTTATTAAGGGCAGAAATAAATGTTAGTAGTTACTTAAATACCTATGATTTGGCACAGTGCCCAAACGTTTTGACACTTGACATAGTATCGTCTTCAAATAAATGTGCTAATTATTCAACTTTGCCTCTCCAAAGCATATATAATTAATTTTTCAGGTGTGTTTTCAGTGAGACTATTGAGCCTCTCAAGAGCCTTCATTGGAAAGATTCTCCCCGATAATCAAGGTTGGAAGTGCTGTTCTAAGGATATCAATATACACCTGCAGTCCAGTGGATTAATTTTTAAAAATGCATTAACTTGATATATAGGTTATTTCCCAACACTCATACAGAAGTTACATTAACACGTCCTTAACCTACATCTATCATTTCCTTATCTATTCATTAATTAAACAAAAATTTATTAAAGTGCTATGCAAGGTGTTGAGTACACAATAGTAGTGAAAAAGGAAAGGACTTAAGGAGAGAAACTGACAAAGTTAGTTAAAATTAGAAATTTTAAATGTGCCCATGAGGATGCTTTGGGATAATAAAGAGCAAAACTCATCAAAGGAGTTATAGAATCCTTTGAAGTGGCATTTAAATTGAGATCCAGTGATGAAAAGCATATGAGTAGGAGTCCTCTAGTTAGAGTGGGAGCATTATTAAGTTATTGGTGAACAAATTAGTAGCTACAAAATAGTCACAGGGATGTAAAGTCCAGCACAGAGAATATAGTCATATTGTAAAAACTACATATGGTGTCAAGTGTTTACTTGAAACATTGGCAGGACTCACTTTGTAAAGAAGACTTGACTTTGGGTGGTAGGCATACAATGCAATATACAGATGATGTACCATAGAATTGTATACTACAACCTAAAAATCTTATTAACCAATGTCACCCTAATAAATTTAATTTAATAAAAAGTATATGACTGTCTATCCACTATGTTGTACACCTGAAACAAAAATGAAATAATGCTGAATGTAAATTTCAATTGAAAAAGAAAGAAAAAATTAAAAAGAGAAAGGTGAATAGTAAGTAATGAAATTGGAGAGTAACCAGGAGATTGGTTATGCAGGTTTCTGACTATGGACTTTATTCTTATATTACTGGAAAATCATTGAAGGGATCAAGCAGGAGAATTATTGATTTTCTTTCAAACTTTAAATAATCCTTTGGCTGCTGAATGGAGAAGGAGGAGAGAGGAAATGTAAACGAAGCCCAAAGAAGGGCATTACACTGACCCAAGTAAAAGCTGAGAGTGGCTCTCACTAGGATAGTGGCATTGGGAAGAACACCAAGTACATTTATACAATAAGTATATGAGGAAAAAAATGAGACATATGTACTACTATTTGTAATACTTTAAACAAGAAAATAAAATTAAAAAAAAAAATAAAAGTATATGAGGAAAATTGGTAAGACTTTCTAACAGATTGTGAGGTGGAAATAAGAATAGAAAGGATATTCCATGCTAAAACAAAAAATGTGATCTCAAAGTCAATTACCTAGAGGTATGTAGCAGGAGGTAAGACACTCATATTTGAACTATTACCCAGATAGTCTTAACTGCATGCATCTCTATGGGTATACTTTCTTGGGTGGGTTTTCCAGAAAAAATGCGGAGCTGTTTTGACTCGTGTTTCAGAATAATCATTTGTAGCAGTGAGATACTGAATATGCAGAAGTAATGTTGTCAATCAGTCTACTGTAGTAGCCTAACTTATAGCAGTGCAAGGCATGGTAAAGGAAATGACAGATACATTTTGAAATAGCAGTTTCAGAAACTGCACTATCATCTGGATGTATACAGATGAAGGAGGAAAATAAGAAACATGATTCTGAGGTTGCTAGCCTAAAGCCTGTGTAGTCTAAGATTAATTGGGCCCTTCACAATACAGGTGCCTCAAAAGAAAACAGAACATGCACATTTGAGTCTCTGTGTGTCTTTATCTGTGTGTTTCTGTGTTAGAAGAAAGATAATGAATGGAATAATTAATTTATCTTGGAATATATACAGGTTAAAGCACCTGTCAAAAATCCACATTGCCATGTCCAACAGATACCGTAATGTCAGCATGACCCTCAGATCATCACAGGGCATTCAACTTTGGGAGATACAAGAATACATAGAGGTGATGATTAAAAATTTGGGAACAGATAAAATGAAGAGGAACCCCATGTTGATTTTTGGAGAATGTTAATATTTAAAGAGTGATAACTGAACAAAGAACCAGCAACAAAGTCCCTCAGTCACCAGAAAGTTTTCCATAAAAGGGTAAAGTTGAGTTTTACATAGATTAGGGACTGGGAAATGCTTGTGTATTTGACTATTAGAGATAGACTTAATTAGATCTATGATTTTATATGATTTTAATGGTATGATGTTAGTAAAGGAGAGATTATAGACCTATATATAAATATGTAATAAATTAATAAATAACAATAAATTAATACATTTTTATAAATTGATCAATCAGCCCAAGAGCCTGAAAACATCATAGTGGATTATCAGAGTGGAATAGCAGCAAGAAGTTTTATATGAGAGGAGTGCTTCAACCAGGGCCTGGGAAGATTTAAGGATATTTATAGGCCAAAGGAGAAAGAATCAATAGACAGAAGCTTATTGTAGTGAAAAAAAAAAAAGGAAATAAATGGAATAATTAGTGGAGTATGGGGTGAACATGAGGGGAAGATGTGTAAAGTATAAATAGGAGTCTGAAGCATGAGAGAAGAAAATAAAAATTGAAGAGTAAAAGAATGGAAAGGGGTAGGGTGATAATCAGCTTAATCTAGGACTCCATCTTATTTCTAATTATGTTTTTACTAGAGGCCCAGTGCATGAAATTTGTGCAGGGGGGCGGTGTTCCTCAGCCCGGCCTGCACCCTCTTGCAATCTGGGACCCCTCGGACATTCCTCTCATAATCCAGGACCACTGGCTCCTAACCATTCTCCTGCCTGCCTGCCTGAATGCCCCTAACCACTCACCTGCCTGCCTGATCACCCCTAACCACCTCTGCCTTGGCCCCCGCACCAGGGATCTGGGCTTCCCTCCCCCTCACTGGCCACAGGCACCCGGGACTGCGACCGCGGGCAGCTTCCCTGCCTCCAGCCCGGGGCGGCTTCTCCAGGGCCAGGCTCCAGCTTTATCTGGAAGTATGAAGGACATCTGGAAGATGTCCAGTCGATCTGGTCTAATTAGCATATTACCCTTTCATTAGTATAGATAGAGACTAGAGGCCCAATGCACAAAATTCATACACTGGGTCTAATTAGCATATTACCCTTTTATTAGTATAGAGACTAGAGGCCCAATGCACAAAATTCGTACACTGGAGGGGGCCCCTTAGCCCAGCCTGCAGCCTCTCACAGTCTGGGACCCCTTGGGGGATGTCCACCTGCTGGTTTACATCTGATCCCCCTGGCTAAGTCAGGGATCAGGCCTAAGCCAGCAGTCAGACATACCTCTCACAGTCCAGGGCTCTTGCAGTCTGAGACCCCTTGCTCCTTACCACCTGCCTGCAGCAGAGGCGGGAGAGGCTCCCACCACTGCCACTGTGCTCGCCAGCTGTGAGCCTGGCCTCTGGCTGAGTGGCGCGCCCCCTGTGAGAGCACACTGATCACCAGGGGGCAGCTTCTGCGTTGAGTGTCTGCCCCCTGGTGGTCAGTGTGCATCATAGGGACAGGTTGGTCCACCTGGCATTCCTCAGTTAAGTCGATTTGTTGAGTGTCTGCCCCCTAGTGGTCAGTGTGCATCATAGGGACAGGTCAGTCCATCCATCATTCCTCAGTTCAGTCGATTTTTATATTAGGGTTTTATTATATAGAATGAGAATCAGGTCTAAATTGAGAACATGACAATAATTGGCATTTCTTTATCTGTGCAAACTATATTTTGTTTCCCTATGAGAGAGTGCCTCAGTAAAGAGAAATGTATTTCTTTGAATCAATCAATGACTAGAAATACTGTAGTCCCCCTCTATCTGTGATGGATATGTTATAAGGACCCCAGCGGATGCCTGAAACCTCAGAGAATATGAAACGCTAATCAACTTCAACTCTACTGGAAATGTGGCAGCAGCTTCTTCATCTTCAGACACAGCCTCCCAGTAAGTTTTATATTTTTTCAGTCCAAAGTCATTCTATGTAACCATCACTTACTGGCAGGAAATGTATCATTTCTTGCTGAAGTCCTTGGATAGGCTCAAGGCTTTCTGGCACAGCATGTTGCCATTAATCGAAAAAATGTTTTCTTTTCATGTCTACCAGCCACAATTTTATGCTTTTTTTCATCCTCACTGAGTACTTATCATACACTGTGTCCATAACTTTTGAAGTTTGAGGTGTGTCAATAAAACTAGTGAGAATTTCTTTTTCGTTCTTCACAATTTCACAGCTAGAAGATTCATTCCTATCTAGGCTTCAGCAATCTGTCTGCAATTTTTTTTTTCTTCCCTTACTAAGTCAAGAACTTTCACCTTTTCTGGAAAAGGAGCACTGTACGACATCTCATTGGCATATTCAAATTACCCTTTTTTTAGTGAATTTATTGGGTTACATTGGTTAATATGCCCATGAACATAACTACTTGATATATATCATCAAATTATATGGGTAGTTACCTGTATGACACTATCCCCAGGGCTCATGTCTGTATAAACGTAGACATTATAGGATATTTCAGGGAAGGTTGGAGTGTTATCATTTGCATCCATCACCCGAATATTGACAACAACTGGCTGGCTTTCTTGCACACCATCAAAGGCCGTCATCTTTGGGGGTAGAAAAATACAATTAATAGAGATATCAGGCAAACATAAGCAGTTCAGAATTCATTCTTATATTTTAAGTTTTCTATATGTAATTTACACATTTAAAAGGGTGCTAATATGTTTTGTCAATAAAAGAAATAAAGCTATAATAGTATATATAATTAGAATGTTTTAATGTGCTCAGAAGCAATTATAGAAGATTCTGTTTTAATTTCAATGTATTCAATGCCAAGCACCTTTTAAATAAGCCGGTATGTAAAATGTTGTAGAGGCTTGAAGTGGGCCAATAACATTGCTGATTCTTAGGAGTGAACTACTATTTAATTTTTATAAAATTGATCAGAAAATTTTCTCCATTTTTACATATTTTGTATACAATTCAATAGTTGCTTTTAAAGCCAAAATGCTGATTATAAGTCAAGAAAGTGTCCTAGATTTGCAGAATCTCTTCACAAAATGACAATTTTTAAAGGACACATTGACATTAGTTAATAGTAATATCTTAATTACAGTATTCACAGTTTAAGAAGACTTGATTAAAAAAAATAGTGCTGCAACACTATGCTCCTTGTTCTGAATGACTTCTGAAATCCACTCTCAAAGTTTTAACTGTCAGTTTGGGTTTTCTGGAAGCTCTGGTGTAAGGTCTTCTGCTGTGCAGACTTCTCCAGAAAGAACGCTAAAAGTCCTAAAAACAGTACTTTTCTATCAGATCATTTACCTCTGACATCTTAACTAAATCTAGTTCAGAAATTTGGATTCACAGCTTCAATAAGCTTTCCTTTTCTTCATTAACCTAACCCACAATTTCCCCATCTCAGTAGTACTGTTATTTTGAATCAGATAATTCTTTGTGGGAGGTTGGAGACGCTGTCATGTATCTTGTAAGATCATGACAAGATGAGCAGCATGCTTTCTTACCCACCAGATGCCAACAGCACCCACTCACAATAGTGGCCACCAGAAATGCCTCAAGGCATGTCTAAATGTTCCCAGAAGGAAGGGAGGCAATGGGATGAGAAGGGAGGTGCAAGGATTATCTCCAGTTGAGATCCACTAGCCTAACCCTATGACAAAATTAAAAACGCAAGAGCAAAAAATAACAGTAATAAAAAAAGTTTAGGAAATAATTCCTTACATTGTGGATTCTGGTTTATAGTATCTCAATTGAAGTCAATCCTGAGGGTATGATGAAGGAAATGCCCATATTTTTGTCTTCATCTCGAAAATTAAAAATGTTTGGAAAGAATGGTCATATAAGCTAAATAAACGTATAAACAGAAAGAAGCAATGTCCATTTGAAGTATGATAGTCCCTATGGCATTACTTAAAACTATTATAGATTTTTCTCTCAGATAACTGATCTTTCAGCTTTAAACAGACATCACGTCCTGTTACATATGTATCTACATAAAAGTCTCTTTACCGAGAAGATGTAAGTGTCCTGTTCCTCCCTGTCCACTGGCTGCAGTAAGGTGAGGAAGCGGGTGATTCCAGTCGGTGTGATGGTGAACACGGAGGTGTAGTCATTCAGGAAAAGGTGAAGCTCTGGGTCTTTCGTCTTTGGGGGGGAAAAAGGCTGTTATTTAAATTGCTGACTAATTGATACAGCTTTGAATTCGTTACCTGAAATACAATTTTTCAAATTTATTACAAAATAAGCATAACCATCTTGAGGATTTCTAAGGAAAAAAAAAAGAGATTTCACTAAATATTTACTCATCATTAAGCTAAAAAGTCCAAAGACAATGGTTAATTTTGTGGAAAACAAAGTAATAAAATAAATACTAGTAAAATTAATGTGAATAAAAAGGAAAATTGTAAAAAGAAAGATAAAGTAGAAAACAATCCAATTAAATATAGTCTTATTGTTTATTTAATGTAAATATTTTTCAGAATGTCACTGGGCTCATAAAATAAGAAATGCAAAAAAAGGAAAATGGAGCAGTTTTAGCTGTACATATGCACATATGATATGTAATCTGCACATATGCATATTATTATACTGTTCCTATATTTAATTTAAAATAAAATTAGTTATGTATAATTTATTATCTATAAATAGCATGCTTATTTTATTTAATGCTGCAAAGATTCTCCAAGGGGAAACATGCTTATTTTAATGAACTTATTTCAGATTATTAGATTGAAAATATATGAATTCACTGCATGTGTCTGATAAAAGAGTCTAGGAAAAAATAACCACATAAAGATGAAGTGATTGCAAAAGTTCAAAAGGGAGATCATTAACTAAGAATTGAAAACCCTTCACAATCTGACTGCCATCCCTGAAATTGAAGGCTTTAAGGTCTGTAGTTCAGAGCAAGAACAGAGATGTGAAGTAGGAGGTTTGGATTGGTGTCTGCATAGTGGAATAGGAGGGCAGGTGGGCAAGTAAAAAGGGAATACTGTGAGGTGGGATTATCAAGAAGGCTATAAAAACAGCAAAAAGGTATGCAGGAAGGTAAGGTGTTTTCATAGATTATGGCAACTTTTAAAATATTATGCATAGTATAATGTGAAATCTAATTAAATATCATAGATTGCTTTTCTAAATCTGGTATCAAGGCCTGAGGGCACAGTAGAGAGCTTAGAATCATTAAACAGATGCTAATTTGAGAAAAATAGAACTCACATTTAAGAAAATTCTATGTAGAAATGAGAAGTTGAAATGCACAATGCACATTAAAAAGTGTAGATAATTTAACCCACAATATATTTTATATATCTTAAATTTCAATATGTATTTATTTCAAATAACTTTGAAATGAATGGTTTTATTTGAACCTGACACAAATTGTATAATCATAATATCTCATAACAAGCTGTTACTTAGATATATCATGGTAGCTTCTCTGTTCATGATTTTGATATAAGGTCAGTGTGCTACATTTATTCTAGAATAAAATAAATTAATACTACAGAAAATTTCCATTGGTCTAGTTATAAAATAATAAGTTGTTAAGAGATGTAAAAGGTCAAGAAGATTTACACTGATCCTTTCAAATAGGCACTTCATTGTTTTTATTTCAATGTTATGACTCAAATAGCACAGCATGGGTAGAAAATGGGGTATTTTCATTAATCAAATATGTCAGTTAATAAAAAGTTAATTTATTTAGAAAATTAAATTACAAATTATTTCCAAATAAACATATTTGAATTACATTTTGAGGATTCTTATTTTTTTATACTTTAATCAATCATAAAATTCAATTATATTTTAAAAATCAAAACTATTAGCATGCAGTTTCAATTAATAAAAACTAAATAAGTATGAGTGCCATTCTTTAGTGTTTATTCTTGATTTTATGTAATTACAAGGTTTTCAAATTAAATGTGTTTTTTTTTCTGTTGTCTGCAAGTAGCAACAATTGTGCCAATGAACACAGTTAGGACAGCTTCCTTTACTCACCTGTACACTATTAACCCAAACTGAGCAAGTATTACTATGTGACTTGCTTACCAAATATTCACTCCTTTCCCTTTATTCAAATCCTTCAGTCACTCTCTACTTTTGTTAGATAATTTTGTTAGATATTAATTTAAATACTCACCTTACGTTTTAAGCATTTTTTAATGTCAGATATTATGATAAGGAAATACTGCAATGACTGTTGAGTTGTGAAGCAGTGCATATGTACAAGGCTAGTGTAATATGGTGTGTTAAAAATAAGACCACTCATTGTACTGATTTTATGAAAGCCACAGAGTTTCTTTGTCAAATACTTCCCATTTGAAGATGAAATAAACACCAGAACTCCATAAACAGACTCTCTCATAATTGATAAACAGAAACATTAAAGACTTTTGATAATTTAATTGTCTCCATTTCTTGGATCCTTTTATAATAACTAGTTAGAGACTAAAATAGCATTTCCCAGAACTGCAGCTTACTTGTTTTATGTAGAGAAGTATTGTACAAGGTATATTTAATACATAATAATCTATTCTGCATAGTTCATCTCTGATTAAAATATAGCTTTTGATATTTATGAATATTTAAAATAGCAATTTTTTGTATCTATGTATTGCATACATAGATGTCATTGGTGAATATCTGTGCATTTCTTTAAGTACAAAACTTAAGGCAGATTGGGAAATGTTCAGCCAATTATCACTCAAATTTAATATTTTAGATTTATTTGTAAAGATAATGCTAGTTTAAGTTATGGTATGTTATGAGTATAAATGGGCACCCATAAGCAGATAATTCTCTGGCTTAATATCCTGATGGGGACAATAAATTTTATGCAGTCCTGTGTCTATTAATTTATTTAAAGTAAATATTAGTTTTCTAAATCAATATGTGCACAGAAGGCTGATTAATAAATGTTCTTTTTCCCCCCTAACATAAGGTAATACTATTTTACTCTAAAGTATACATTTAATATACACTAAAACTATGACATATTACTTCAGTGGTTTGTGTATTATTTTCTGGAGGGTAAAAAAGCTCATATTCTCTCACAGCACAAAAATATAAATGAAAAAGTAAACATATCTACATTGCAAATATAAACAAAGATATGACTGTAAAAATTTTTAAATTTAGTCATATAGAGTAGAAGTATGTTTAAATATGGAAAGACCATTGCATTTGAAATCAATGGGCACCAAAATATATCACATACACACACAAGATTATATGCATTCTCATATATATGCACATGCAACACAGAAACATATATATGTACACATATATACATGCATACTATGTACACACATAAGTTACAAACCATAATACAAAAATGACAAAAAATTTTATCTCATCTGCCAATTCGAATCAGTTGATAGTAATTTTCTGAGGTTCCTTGTTGAAAAGGGTTTGACCCCAACCTTACAAGCTTTCAGAAAGGATGCAGTGATGAATTATCAAGGTTTGTCATGGACTAAAAGATCATTTAATAATTAAATAATCTTTAAGTCACTTGCAACTTGGATTCTACACAATTTCATAGTACTAAAACTATAATATAATGTAAATATACTTAGTTTAAACTTATATGCATATATATTTAATGTAGTTATAGACATTTTTGTAGGTGTTAACAAGTAATTGCCTACTTGTTTTAATTGAACCGGAAAAGAACAAGAAATCGAACCACAGCAATTAACAAAAGAACAAACACAAAATCAACACCTAGTACCTACAGGAACTCCACCAGGTGGAACCTATGTGCAAATTAAATATGAAATAAAAAATGTAAATATATGTATTGCATACATAGATGTCATTGGTGAATATCTGTGCATTTCTTTAAGTACAAAACTTAAGGCAGATTGGGAAATGTTCAGCCAATTATCACTCAAATTTAATATTTTAGATTTATTTGTAAAGATAATGCTAGTTTAAGTTATGACATGTTATGAGTATAAATGGACACTCATAAGCAGATAATGCTCTGGCTTAATATCCTGATGGGGACAATAAATTTTATGCAGTCCTGTGTCTATTAATTTATTTAAAGTAAATATTAGTTTTCTAAATCAATATGTGCACAGAAGGCTGATTAATAAATGTTCTTTTTCCCCCCTAACATAAGGTAATACTATTTTACTCTAAAGTATACATTTAATATACACTAAAAGTATGACATATTACTTCAGTGGTTTGTGTATTATTTTCTGGAGGGTAAAAAAGCTCATATTCTCTCACAGCACAAACATATAAATGAAAAAGTAAACATATCTAGATTTCAAATATAAACAAAGATATGACTGTAAAAATTTTTAAATTTAGTCATATAGAGTAGAAGTATGTTTAAATAAGGAAAGACCATTGCATTTGAAATCAATGGGCACCAAAATATATCACATACACACACAAGATTATATGCATTCTCATATATATGCACATGCAACATAGAAACATATATATGTACATATATATACATGCATACTTATGTACACACATAAGTTACAAACCATAATACAAAAATGACAAAAAATTTTATCTCATCTGCCAATTCGAATCAGTTGATAGTAATTTTCTGAGGTTCCTTGTTGAAAAGGGTTTGACCCCAACCTTACAAGCTTTCAGAAAGGATGCAGTGATGAATTATCAAGGTTTGTCATGGACTAAAAGATCATTTAATAATTAAATAATCTTTAAGTCACTTGCAACTTGGATTCTACACAATTTCATAGTACTATAACTATAATATAATGTAAATATACTTAGTTTAAACCTATATGCATATATATTTAAAGTAGTTATAGACATTTTTGTAGGTGATAACAAGTAATTGCCTACTTGTTTTAATTGAACAGGAAAAGAACAAGAAATCGAACCACAGCAATTAACAAAAGAACAAACAAAATCAACACACCTAGTACCTACAGGAACTCCACCAGGTGGAACCTATGTGCAAATTAAATATGAAATAAAAAATGTAAATATAAATAACCACAAACTGAGATATGGCATACAGGTATACATGAATAAAACAAACAAACAAATAAAATAAAAAATAAATAAAACACCTTTTCTAGTTAGTACATTTAAAGTAATAACAATAGTCATTCCTTAATATTCTGAAAAAGAAACATAACATACATGATAGTATAGTAATATTTATAAAACATATATCTTTAACGCTATATTGTATGTATTAGATTTCAAAGATACCTTTATTTTGAAATAACACTATATGTAGGGATGTGAATTGACATGAAATTATAAGTGAATCTCTTTTTATTACTATTCCCTGTTATTTTTTTTATAACCAAGATTAAATAACAACCTACAGGAACTCCACCAGGTGGAACCTATGTGCAAATTAAATATGAAATAAAAAATGTAAATATAAATAACCACAAACTGAGATATGGCATACAGGTATACACTAATAAAACAAACAAACAAACAAACAAACAAATAAAAATAAATAAAACACCTTTTCTAGTTAGTACATTTAAAGTAATAACAATAGTCATTCCTTAATATTCTGAAAAAGAAATAAAACACCTTTTCTAGTTAGTACATTTAAAGTAACAACTTTTCCCAAGGAATAGTCATTTCTTAATATTCTGAAAAACATAACATACATGATAGTATAGTAATATTTATAAAACATATATCTTTAACGCTATATTGTATGTATTAGATTTCAAAGATACCTTTATTTTGAAATAACACTATATGTAGGGATGTGAATTGACATGAAATTATAAGTGAATCTACAAGTGTAACCTCTTTTTATTACTATTCCCTGTTATTTTTTTATAACCAAGATTAAATAATCAACTTTCAATGGTTCTGCCACTGGAAACTTGGTGGTCTCAGACATGACTTAAAAAATCTTGTGCATTACCGTTATACCTATATTCTAGACTATTTTAAAACTGTGAAGACTACTTAGGTTCTGCCACTGGAAACTTGGTGGTCTCAGACATGACATAAAAAATCTTGTGCATTACCGTTATACCTATAGACTATTTTAAAACTGTGAAGAGTACTTAAATATTTAATTATGATTCTCATATCTGTACATGTTTATATCTCTAATGTCTGTAGAAAAGAAGCATTAGTAAAAACATTTTGTTTACTTTTTTTCAGTTTCACAGTGACCCTTCCTACTCAAAATATATTCTGTGAATAACACCAAAACTCATCAATCTCTGTTACTATTTCTTAAAACTTTGTATTAACTTTACACACATTTGAAGAAAGGAACTCCACTTAATTTTTGGACAAATAAATCCAAGTCTGACCTGTGCTTGGCATTTGTCTTTAGGCGTGGCTGCTCTTGAGCAACTCTGGAGAGCCAACTCCTGCTGTGAGGACTTCTCTTTTCATGCCTGATGCTTATTCTCCATTTCCATTGCTGACACCTCTATGAGGGGAACTGTCTCTGTCTATATCCTTAAACTGCTATCCCTATTTTGATTAATTTTACTAACTCTGACTCAAAATCAGCAAGATTTTACCATAGAGTAAAATTCTTGCCCGTGAGTGAAAAAGGCCTTGAAGTTTTATGTTGTTAATTGAGATCTTTAACCTCATACTGACCATATTTTATTTTAAGATTTACAGACTGTTTGACCTGGAAAAAGAAATGATTCAGAAGGGCATAAACCCATCTTCAAACACATTAATGACCATTTTGTAGATTTATTCTGTGTGCTGACAAATGAAAGAGATAAGGAATAATGGATGAGTTACAAAAAGGCTGGTTTTAACTCTATATAAAGAGCTTTCTAAGAATTAGTTGCCCAACCAAGGGATGGGCCATATTGTGAAACAGTTAATTCTATATAACTAGAAATTTTGATGTATATGTTAGATATACTCATTCTATAAGCGTATTTAAATTATAAATATAAAGAAACTATATAGGATATTTTAAAAAAATCTTTGTCACTTTGGGATTAGATATATTTGCTTACTTTCTGGGCACCTAATGATAAGTATTCACTGTAGGTAATTTTAGATAAAAGATGGGCTTAAATAATAAATAATGTGTGTCTGACCACTCATTTAATTACTTGACTCTTTTATACAACATATTAATCATGCTTCTGTCCCTATACATGGCAGCACATAAGGAAAAGTTTCTCTCCAAGCCCAGCCCCTCCAGCCCCAAATGAAGGAACAGGTCAAGGAAGCAGTGGTTACCACCATATACGTTTTGGATCACAGGTGATTGGATAAAATGGGGGTAATTGGTGGTCACAGTATTATACAGCTATTGTGGTAAAACCAGAAATCAGACCCAGGGCTGACTAACTCCAGAATACAAACGCCTAAGGACCAGCACATGCTATCCCACCCCTTGGAAACAGCTCAGGGGAGTTAAGAGCTTAACTGGCGTTAAATTCAGCAGAATTCTAGGTGCTGTTTTCTAAAGGTTTTAGACCCACGAGTTTCCCCCAGGAGAAAACAAATCTGAAAGTGTCCTCTTTTTTACTAAACTGATAAAAAAAAGCTCCATTTGATGAGATTTCAGAGACAATCAAGACCTGTCCTGTCCAATAGCGTAGCCACAGAACATTTTCATCATCACAAAAGTTCTATTGGACAACACAACTGGAGAGGGATACAGTGCCGACCAGGACTTTTTGAGTTGTAAATGACAAATCAAATGTCCAGCATGTCTAAAACAAGGATACACTGGAAAATGCTGTTGTAGTCACAGAATCAAAGGAATATCTTTAGGATTAGTAAAGCTTTGGGGAAATCATAACCTAAAAGCAAAACAAAACAAAACAAAACAACACAGAAACCCAACAGGATTCTGTCTGTCAGGCTCCATTCTTTTTCAGTGATAACAGATTTTCTCTATGATTCAGAAAGCAACGGCTCCAATGGCTTCAGGTTCATTCGCACTTCTTTAATGCTAAAGTCTTCCAGATTCTCTTTCTTTTTTTTTTTTTTTTTTAACCAAGAATGTGGTTGTACCTGTCTACAGGACAACCGGTTAGTGGAGAATATTCTTTAAGCTTAGAATAATAGAATGCCTGGTTAGCACAGAGCAGGGGCTTATTGGCAAAAGAGGTTTGCAAGGTTGCTTAACTTTTGGGAAGCCAAGTTTCTGAGTCCATTCAGTCACCATATACTTCCCATCTTACTACCTCTGAAACCAGCCTCTGTGTGCCTGGAAATAATCCTGCCCTTAATTTGCATCTCCCAGACTTGCAGAAGACGTTATCACTTCCTTGAGTCTTCCGGTGGCCCAAGTCTAATAATATCTACTCCCACACGTATAGCTTTGGGGAAATCATAACCTAAAAGCAAAACAAAACAAAACAAAACAAAACAACACAGAAACCCAATAGGATTCTGTCTGTCAGGCTCCATTCTTTTTCAGTGATAACAGATTTTCTCTATGATGTCAGAAAGCACGGCTCCAATGGCTTCAGGTTCATTCGCACTTCTTTAATGCTAAAGTCTTCCAGATTCTCTTTCTTTTCTTTTCTTTTTTTTTTTTTTTGTAGTCTTTCATTTCTTGGGAGGACTCTGACTGGCGTGGTATAGATTTTCTGCCCACCATTCAAAGCAATTACTCTGGCTAAAAAGGCGAAATACTATGATCTACCCAGTCAGGACCATTTCCCATTGATGTGGCTAGTATCAGTGCCAGAAAAACAGAGGGCAATGATGAGTGGAGTGGAGTTAGCATCACAGTTACTGACAGAAGTGCAAGCAAGTCAGCTGCCTCAAATGCTTTTTTTTTGTAATAACATACTATCAGAAAAGTCCCCCAAATCCCATCCCAGGACTGCCAGCATGATTTTTTTTGTACTTATTGCATAATGCCATAATTTTTCCCTATTAACAATTATGTAAACTGTTTTAACCCATATGAATAAATAAGTGTGCCCTGATAATTTAGCAAGCTACTGAAGAAACATTCATTTTCTTCCTTATACTGAATATCTGTAAACTGAGAAAAAAAGCAGCTGAATTAAACATACCTGTTAAATCTTATCTTTGATATAGAATTAAATGACAATAATAAGACTCTCATTTATATTTTTTCTCTATTCTATAGCTCATGTAACCAGGTTTTTATAACATTTCTTGTTGACATAAGTAGAACAAGAGACATGTTAACAAAATGAGCAAAATTTACATTTAACTTACATCTTCTATGTCCTTGTCTAGAACCACAATTCTTAGAGGGGTGGTCAAATTTACACTGTCGGAAATAGTTGATCCCACTGGGGCAGATTCTAGAATGTAGCCTTGATAACTGGGCATCGTGAAATACGGGCTCTGATTATTCTCATCCAGTATTTCAATATGTAGACTGGCAAAGGCAGGGAGAGGATGACCATTGTCCTGTTCAGCCTAGAAAAGAATAAAAACAGGTTTAAAAATTCTAAGTGATGGGATCTTTCTGAGTGTCACTTTTGCAGTGGTTCTCAACCTTCTGGCCCTTTAAATATAGTTCTTCATGTTGTGACCCAACCATAAAATTATTTTCGTTGCTACTTCATAACTGTAATGTTGCTACTGTTATGAATCGTAATGTAAATATCTGATATGCAGGATGGTCTTAGGCGACCCCTGTGAAAGGGTTGTTTGACTGCCAAAGGGATCGTGACCCACAGGTTGAGAACCACTGAATGGGGAATTGCTTTTGAACTGGTATCATTACGGAAAGAAGAAATGCTTTGAAAGTAAGAGGGACTTAGAAAACGAATGAGGAAATGGTTTCATCAATTTTTTGGTCTTTTGTCATCAAAATCAGTGTATTCTTTTAAAAAATAATAACAATAATAATTGCAATAAATTATTGCAGCTGTCACTAGATAGTGTTAGAAGATAACTGCTTACATGCACTTAGACATAAAATTGAGAAGTGAAGATGTTTCAGTAAATTGCTGATGAAATATTTAAATAAAAGACAAAAAAGATTCATTACTCAAAGTATGATACTTATTTTTATCTCTTCCATGTTTTCTCATTTCACACTAATGATTAAGTCCCCAAATAATTCATAATTCTATATAAAATTAATATATTTAGGCCTTATTTGAGCTCTCATAAGGAACAGAGGTAATTTCAATAAAATATTTTAATACTTGTAGAATTTCAAATATATTTAGCTAGCAATGTTATTCAAGTAAAATTAATATTTATGTATTAGAAATATGTTTTCTTGTATTTTTTCTGTTTAGTTTTTTAAATGATGACAATTTATATTTCTAAGAAATTTTCCTAGAAAATTTCCATATGATCATGTTGTGAGTGGGAAACACCAATCTTTGCTATTCTTTTTTTAAAAAAATGTATATTACTATACAACCATACTGAAGTAATGTGTAGCCTTTTCTAGAATCATGCATTCCAACTTTTCTTTTTTAAGGGAAGATTTCATCACAATTGACTTCAAACTTTAGGAGAAATCATTTACATAAGTCAATAGTATGCAAATTTGCTGAAATAGATTCAAAGTATTTTTCATAAACTTTTATTGATATTTTCCCAGTTGTTGCAATAGATGTATTTTGAAATCGACTCAATGTAAAAGTTAAATCCTTTATATTAAACCCTGGAGTGCTTTTCTAGGTTAAATAGATTATTTAATCCAGATCCTATAGCAAGGTCTCCAGAAGATAATTCTCACTGCAATTTAGCATTTTCATCACTTAAGAGGGTAACAACCACAGTGGTGTTTGAAAGCACTGGCGACTTTGCATCAAGAAAAATTACAGTATCACTTCACATTATTGTTACTACTGAAGATATACTTTGAAATATAAATTTATGCATATAATATTTTGAAATTATGGTAATTATTAAACCCATTGTGAAATAATGTTCTATAAAGCATTGTGAAAAAATGAATCTTTGATTTTTAGTATTTTGATAACTCTATTTCAATATATTAGATTTCCATTTTAAGGTTATATAGTTTACTTTATTCATTTAAATTTGCAGCAGATTGCCAAAGTGGCCCAGTGCACGAAAGGTTTATGAGTTCGGCACTAAGGGCAACCATACTGAAGTAATGTGTAGCCATTTCTAGAATCATGCATTCTTCTTCACACATAACCATATTGCTCCTGACAACATACATATGGATATGCTCATTCTACATCCAGTGGCTGTGATTAATGTGTGCATGGGAACTCTTCTGGGAGTGACCTCTGTGACATACAACAGGCTTTTGAACACAGCTAACCAGGACAAGAGATAGTCTATGCTTAGAAAACATCACTTTTACAGTAAATGAAATTAATTGGTCCATATGAGGTTCCAACCCAATGACCTTGATCTGATTAAAGCAGGATCAGTTCATATGCAGATCCTTCTGCACAGGACATTTTTTTTTCTCTATCCCTTTATTTTGTCTCTAGTCCACAAGCCATTATCTCATATCCTGGACATATGAATAATGCTATGGAAAGTAACAGAATTTACCACTTGTCCCCTTCCCTCAATAAACACACACAAACACAATGTATGAATGGTGAGGGGAAAGCAGAAAACATTCTATAACATGAAAGAGGCTGATATTGTTACAGTCAGCTCATACTAGTATGGATTTTTGTTTTGTTTTTACAGTCAGCACATACGTTGTTAATTTTTACTACCAGCTGGGAAGCCAAAAAACAAAACAAAACACACAAACGTATTATTTACATGATGAAAACAAGTGAGTCAATAAAACAGAAATAAAAGTCAAATTAGACGAAAAGAATCTAATCCCCCTTATCTTTAAAAACACTATATGAAAGCTCTGCCTGTTACTGCCCTAACATTAGTTTGTTGTTAATATGACTAATATTTTTGGTTTGCTACTACATGGTTTATCCTGTGTTAGGTGTTTCAGAGGTGCTTGTCAGATATCTGTCTCCAAAGTCCACAGTCTTAATTAACCTCTGTGCAATTTTGCCTCTAAATATGAAAACATACTTTTGTTATGATGGAGAAGCAAACAGTTGGTTTTATGTTCAAGGCCCCACTGTCTGTAAGTAAATGAAAGACGAGGGCCCAGACACAGGTGTCCTGATTCATGGCACCTATACAGGGAAATTCACCACACGTTTCTCTAATTCAGAGAATATAAATGAATATCCAAATGTAAGACAATGGGAGAGATTAGTGGTAGGAAAAATATTAATAACATAGATACTCCAGATAGAATTAGAGTTTAAATATGGCACTTAAAACAAGTTAATGTTATTATACTTTGCTCTTTAATGGCCCCATGCATCAAATCTTTCAGCCAATACTCTTCTTTGATGTAATATAAATAGGAATTCATAAAAATCTAACTTAATTTGTTCTACTGTAACCACGAGTGTGTGAGGTAAGTATAAAAAAGCAGGTCAAGTGAAACAAGGTGGTATTTTAAAAAAATAATTTCATCCTATAACATTATTTATATCTATAAAGTCTGCATTTACAAGTTAAATATATTTAAAAGCCAGCTTTTGTTTGGAGAATTTCTGGGCATGAGTCCCATTTTCAGTAAAATAAGACCAAAGTGAAACTTAAGCCAAACAAGCAGAAGAATAAAAATTACACTACCTAGTTACTTTGGAGGGAAAACATTGAAAGAGACAAACCATTCCATTTTCAATATTAAAACAACAAGTAATAATAATCTCTTAGCTCAAGAGGACGGAATACAGAATAACTTTTTTCCTGCTGGCTTGGCAAGCAACTGAAATTCCACAATCTTTAATATGAGGTCTGTCAAGTAGATATAATAATTTGAGGGGAGGAAGGAAAGAGGAAATGAGACAGATCAAGATATTTAAGTAAATTCTAGGAAAAAATAAAGAAATCACTTTTTCCTAGAAAGTCAGGGGTTTTATTTATTGTGCACCTATAGTGCCCACTTTTTTCATCTCATTTTGTCTATACTCACGCTTCACAATGTTTTCTAAGTCAACTTCAGTCAGGCTTTCGCCCCCACCACTCAAACACGGCTTTTCTTGTCAAATTCACCAGTGATTCCTACATTGCTAAAGTAATATTTACTTTCAAACTTTATCTTACTTGGCCTGCATATAAAACTTGATTCACTAGGCTTTCATGACAACTTTTTCTCTTGCTTTTCTTTCTATATTATTATGTATTTCTTTTCATTTTCAAGTGTTGGATTCTACTCTTTCTCCCCAAATTCTTAAAAGTCAGGTCTGGGTAGTATTCTCTTCTCATGGCCTTAAAAATGTTAGTAACACGACTCCCAATATACATCTCCAGCCTGAACCTCTCCTCGAAACTCCAGAATCTATATCCAACTGAGTACATAGCAACTCTGCCTAGATATCTAATAAACATTTCACATGTAACCTCTGTGAAAATGAAATTCTCATCTTCCCCATCACAAACCTGCTCCACAGTCTTCCCACTTGATAGCAGCTCTATTCTTTCACACTTGCTCAAGCCAAGAACCTGGAGGTCACCTGCACTCCTTGCTTCTTTTCATACCTCACATGTAATCAAGAAAGACTTTTTATTGACGATAACTTTGAAATATATGCAGGATCTCACTACTCACCCCTTCCCACCGTCACCATCTTGAGCTCACCTATTATCATTTTCACCTGGATTCACTTGAATTGCTCTGTCAGCTTCCAACCGTGCCTGTAGCCTGTTCCCTGATTGCAATTTAGTGTTTTGGTTACATGATAGCCAGGTGATTTCAGTTATTTCATTAAAACCCTTCAATAATTTCCAACTTGTTTCAGGCCCTAGGGCTCTGATCTATGACTTCTTTTATCATATGCCTCTTCACAGTCAATATTCTCTGTCCTTTTCCTGGACACCACATCCCTTGCTATCAGTAAAGCTTTCCACACACAAAGAATGAAATGCCTCAAGGTTGCCTTTCCTCGCTAATAGCAGGCTGCTTATCTGACTGAAATAGTGGCAAGTCGACCCAGCTACCCAGGGTTCATGGAGATCCCTTAACCCTTTATTTGTAATTCAAAATTTAACTCTCAAGTAGAAATAAAATATTTGGTTTGGAGAATTTGACTGGGTGACTAAATTTACAATTCCATTTTGTTTTTTTTTAAAAAATTGATCTCAGAGAAAGGAAGGAAGAGGGAGAGAGAGGTAGAAACATCAATGATGAAAGAATCATTGGTCAGCTGCCTCCTGCACGTCCCCTACTGGGGATCGAGCCCGCAACCCATGCATGTGCCCCTGACCAGAATCAAACAAGGGACCCTTTAGTCCGCAGACCAATGCTCTATCCACTGAGCCAAACTGGCCAGGGCCATTTTGACTTTTTGATTAGAAATTACATTCACTTAACATTCTTCCCTAATCACTTTAGATTTTTACAACATATTTAGTTAAGCTTTCTACCAACTTATTTAGTA